TGACTGGAGAAACACAACATGGATAGTTCAAAGACAACATAGATAGTTCAAAGACAATGCAAACTCAAATCACAAGATCGAAAAAATTCCCAAAACAACATGGATAGTTCACTACAATGACATAACACTAGAATAAACAAGGAAAGCAAGAGAATTTCATTGGTTGGCTTCATTTGGCTCCCCCTCATTTTGACCTCCATCTCTCCCTCCTCCTCCTCCACGTCGTCCTCGACCCCTTCTTCCCCCATCTCTCCCTCTTGCTTCTTGGAGGGCTCGCTCAACGACTGGTCGCATATTTCTCTTAACCCGAGCCCCAACTGGAGTTACTATAGGCGGTGGAGGTGGCTGAGATGGACCGGTAGCTTGATTGTAGATCGGGGGTGAGGGGTTTGTTGCTGCGGGGTGTGATACATCAGACTCTGTTGCTGATGGTGGAATTGAGGGAACCCTTGAGGGAAAATGTCTGGTGGCTGAGATGGACCGGAGCTTGATGACCAGCGACATCCGTTGCAGGTGCCCACTCATACTCAAATGGTTCAGGGAGCTCTGTTGCTTGAGTTGTACACACCTCTTGAAACGTAGTTAAAGGCTTGCGTTTGCTCCTTCGTGGGGGCTCAATCGGGGGTACAATGCACTCATCATCACGGAATGATGGGCGTGCCGGGGTAGGAATGGGAGGATATGTCACGACATCCCTCCTTTGCTCTCGGGGTAAAACTCAGGAGGTTGTTCATAAGCCTTCGCAACCTAGAAGTCTTGCGCTCATCCATGGTTGGAGCATTATCGACCATGTGCTTGGCGTGTTCCAAACCATCAACCTAAGCAATCCACGTAATAAATCAAAAATTAATTAAACCTTAAAACAAAAGAATTAGACTACGAGGGAGACTTAGGATGACTTACCAACGAACCCATCACAACACCTTGCTTTGACACCCATCTAAGCGTAAACTTCTGATACCACTGCATGTACCCATCGTGGTAACCCATATGTCTCGTCTCTGACATCCCTTGGACCACCCAATTCCCTATATTCTCCCAAATGTTGATGTTGAACTGATGCTTTAGAAGCCAATTATTTGCCTCGTGTCGGAGGTCGATGGCATGGAGCTCCCTGAAACCTTGAGGGGGGGGGGGTTGTGGAATTGGTTGCTCCATTCGATATTGCCTCAAGGATCGATCGGGTAGGTGCCCCTCCACGATGTGCCAGCAGATCAATGGCACCTTGCACAACCACGTATCCTGATCTTGGGGGTGTCTCAGATGATGCAGCTCAACCACTTCACGTGGATATGGATCCCATATAACCTATACTCATTGATAATTTGCAATTAGCGACCATTTACATTGAAATTTTTTAATTTGTTAAAATATTAGAAAGCATGATTACCTGGTTCCACCAAGGGTTATCTAACTCAGAACGATAAAACAACAAAGAGTGCTCAGGTTGATGGTCGTTTGTATTTGCTCCTATCCACCTTGTAAGTAAAAGTACGGGCATAAGAATTTTTTAAAGCATTGAATACATTTAAATTTGTGCTAAGCATGGAATAAATTTAAATTAAGCTAAGTACAAAATAAATATAATTTAAATCTAGCTAAGAATGGAATAAATTTGCAATTAGGCTAAGTAAGAAATAAATGTAATTTAAATCTTGGTAAGCATGGAATAAATATTTAATTAGGCTAAGTACGGAATAAATGTAATTTAAATCTAGCTAAGCATGGAATAAATATGCAATTAGGCTAAGTACGGAATAAATGTAATTTAAATCTAGCTAAGCATGAAATAAATTTGCAATTAGGCTAAATACGGAATAAACTTACTTGACACCATATGGGGGATTTTGCACAAATTGTAGCTCATCATATGCTCTCCGGTATGGACATGGGTCTTGAGGTGCGAACATTGGAAGATGCTCCCATACCCAGAGCTGGAGGATGAACATCGCCCCACCAGCTTGTCTCGCTCCCACCTTCGAGCAAGTACACAGCTCCCTATATACGCTAGCTAACACGGCCAATCCCTAACTCTTTTCCCCGATTGCATCCCAGTCATCATTGAGCAATGGCAACCATATGCCTTGGATGATGAATCCACCTGTTTGACTTGTCGGGGAACAGAAATCCACCCACCAAACCAATGAAGTAGATGTGTGCATAGCGCTCCACTTGATCTTCCGGAGTCTCGTCATTGATTTCCACCTCATTTTGGATGTGAGTAACGAGCCACGAGACAGACACTTGTCCCGCATTCAACAGTAGATGCCCCCGTCCTTGAATTGGTGTGGTGGTCGGCATGTCAAATCCCAAACGAGCACGAATGAGCGGCCCCCAACCTCCTTCGGGTTTGGTAGTAGTACCAATGATGGCCTCTCCAGAAATCGGCATCCTAGTGAGGGTCACGGCGTCTTTGAGGGTGATCGTCATTTCTCGGGGCGTCATCGCTCCGCCATTGCCATAAGCAGATCGTTGTCCATTTCAATCCGCATGAAATGCCTCAACATACCCAACTCGGTCCTCTCTATATACGACGCCAACCGATCATGCCAAGCAGGCAAGTTTGTGGTCCCTTTATGAATGACGGGAATAAGTGATTCCTACAAAGAAAAGGAAAAACATCAATTTGTTAGTTAAAAGAAAGCAAAATAAAACCTTATAAAATAAAGCAAAATAAGTCATCAATTTACCGGATTGTTGTCCCAAATTGCACGGGATCGATGTGCTTCTTGATCGGTTAAATACCTCGTATCTCTTGGCCCATAATGGATATACAATCGAGGATCATATATCTCGGCACCCATCTATAAAAAAAGTAATGAAATAAGATTGTTTTGATTAAAAAATATCACAAAATTAAATTGTTTCGATTAAATCAAAATCACAAAAGAAAAACCAAGAACCTACCTGAAGAGCCTCTTCGTCCATTTTTGGCGAAAGCCAGACAAAGGTTCGACGGGTTTATAAGGGACGGGAGCTTTAGGGTATAACTCTAGTAATTCTTTCTGATGTGGAAGATCGGACTTAGCCGCAACCACAGAGCATACTTGTTTATTTAATTTTTTTTTACTTAGAACGAGACTAGATTGGATGGATGGAGGGAGAAAGAAGTGTAAATGTGGTGGTGTGATTTGGAAGGGGGGGGGGGGGGAAGGGTTCTATTTATAGGGGAAGGAGGTGGCGGAAAAAACCACTGAGCCATCACCGCCTTTGACAAAGGCAGTGAATAAACCACCTTTATCGAAGATGGTGAAGGCGCAGATCGAATGACGTGGGACGTTGTGAGGCGTCGGATCTGGGAAGAAAACCAAATTCGCGCCTCACCGCATCCAACGACAACGGTGAGCTATCTGCGACGCGGATCGTTGACATGGACAAACGCGGTGTATTCACCGTGAATACATCGCATTTGTCCATGTCAGCGATCCGCGTCGCTTTCATCGTGCCATTCAGATGCGGGGAATATTTCACCGCGTTTTACTAAAACGGTGAACACTTCACCGTTTTTGTGTAAAGCGGTGAATGGTTACCTCGTTATTCACCGTTTTGCAAGGCCACGGTGAATACGTCGTCGTTTTAAATAAAAGTGGTGAATTATTCACCGCCTTTCTCTAATGCGGTGATTACATTCACTGCTTTAGACAAAGGTGGTGAATGTAAAACATGTGTAGATTGTGAATTTTTTTTATAATTTATGTATTTTGGGAATTTTTTTTAATTACTAGTGTACTTTGGGATCTTTTCCGAAGGATCCCATCCCAGAGAGCATTTAAACCAACCTAACTTGTTTCTCTTTGAGCCGACTAGCTCCCATACAATTTTCACTAAATATTGAGGCATTATATGCCATGTCAGGTATCTCTCATCGATCCTTCTTGAAGATGAGGACCAAACAAACTGCAATAGACCTGATAAATCATGACTCGACCGTTAGTCCAATCCGAATCTGGCCGAAAAATAGAATATGGGTTGAGGTTCTTATAACCCGAAAACCATAATCCCATATTCTGATTTGTTCAGTTGAAGACCAAAACCTAAGCCACTCCCCTTAACCCCCTAATTAGAAAAAAATTCTCGATTCTTCTGAAACTTCCCCTCACATGTCCACAATCCATATCTCAATCTCATGGTTCAACACCTTTTACTTCCCCATCGACAAATCGTCCATCTTCCTCGTACAAACTTCCAGTATTTTCAAACGCAAACAAGATCCAATGACTGTTCCCCAAAACTCAGGCAACTCAGCTTGTGCTTGAATAGTGAAATCGGCCTATGACCACTGATCTATATCCTCGTCCACATTTCAAGATCTCTCTGTGATAAAATAATCTCTTCCAAATGTAAATCTGACCTCTATCTTGCTTCCTCCATGAACCAGACCAACAATTCCATCTTCTTCACCAAATCGACAGCCACCATCGCTGACAGTTACTCTTTGGCTCTTTTGCTCTGTCCTGATAAAATGCACTCGCGATTTACCTAAACATACAAAAATTAGACCTATTTGCAAAACTTAAAAAGTTTAGATACCAAAATATTACACACAAAAAAATTAGGTACTAAAACATAATTTACAATCGATATTTTGAGGACATATATATGCAAAAATTAAATTTAGATACTAAATATAAAGATCTATTAAGTTTGGGTACCAAACTGTAATTTATAAATGGGTATGGGTACACACCCAAATCCATGAATAAAAACCCAACCCAAAATAATTATGGGTATAATGGATATAGGTAAACTTGTCAGTCATAAACATAACGTTTAACATTGTAACATAATGCAGGGACCAAAAAACACATATTTTATGGTACAGGAGCCATTTCGAGAAAAATGCACAATTTAGTGACCAAATGGTGATTTAACTACACAAGAATGACATAAGCATGAGCAGGAGAGCAGCCACCCACACCCACTTTCTTCCTTCTCTGAACGCCAAACACCTTCTAATTAGGAATTGCCTCCTTTCGCCCTTCCCCGGCCCTACTATAATTATGATCCGCACTCCTTCCCTCCTCCGCCGTCCCTTCTTCTCCTCCTCCTCTTCCCCGCCGCCGCCCAGTTCCTCCTGCATCCTCCCTCCTCCTTCGCTTCTCCGCCCTCACCTCATTTCCACTCCAATCTCTCTCCGCTGCTCCGGTAATGATCCTCTCTCCACCGTCGCTTCCGACGCCATTTCATTTTGCATTTTTTCCTAGGATATTTAGGAGGAGGGCAATTTGGGTATTTTGAATTGGCCACTTTTACAGTTGAATCGTGGGCCGTTTGATTACGCGTCCATATGCTATTTGCTCCGTCGGCTTCTTCTTCTTCTTCTTCTTTACTCTTTCTCCTTCGCCCGCCTCTACTTTCTCCTGCTGCTTCTTCACTCTGACCCTCTACTGAACTTTGGTCTTTGAGCAGCCGCTGACTCACGCTCGCCGCCGAATCGAGAAATGGCTACAGCTGACAACCAGCAGGATCCTCGCCTCGCCGGAATCGCTTCCGCGATTCGAGTTATTCCTGACTTCCCCAAAGCAGGTAGCTCCATGCGCCTAGTTTGTGCTACTTTCTCTGCATCTCCGTTGACTAAAAGTTGATCGTCGAATGGTTTTATATTTCCTGGTTGGTTTCTGGTGAAGGAATTATGTTTCAGGATATAACGACGCTGCTTCTTGACGTGAAGGCGTTCAGGGACACTATCGACTTGTTCGTCGACCGGTACAAGGACAAAGGCATCTCCGTCGTCGCTGGTAATTTGAATAATTTCCGTCGACTTGATCTGTGTTCTTTCATGCCTTATGGATGGTTTTTGCTGCATTTATTGGAAGGCTACTTCCCCAGCTGCCTTTTCAAATAGTTGACCTAAAATAGAAATTCTCTGGATATTAATAATACCAAGTGTTAGTATGTTGGATTCATTAGATCAGTGTTGTTTGTTACGAATTTGGATTTCTTAGTGGGAAAACCCATGGCAGTCCCGTGTTGATTGGTATACTTATGGAAATGTTGGTGTAGACTTTCCTCTAGGAAGTAGGAACTCAGCTGCAAGTTGTAAAAATGTCAATCCGTGGTTGCTGGGGGTTGCAATTGAGAAAGTTTGTTAAGGCAGAACTGAAATGGATAGCTCCTTGCCTTGTCTCCCATCAATCAGCCATACAGCCTCTCATCTCAACTATTCCTAAAGATCCTCCTTTGGACTCTGCAGATGTAGTTTAGCGAATGGTGTGACCTAATTGATTACTTGGTTTAATATCCTAGTCGCTTTATCTCACATGTCCTGGTGGCTGGATGATGTAATAATCAAGAATGTGTCTGATGTGTATGTTTACATGGTGCAGGTATTGAAGCAAGGGGGTTCATATTTGGCCCTCCAATTGCATTGGCCATTGGCGCGAAGTTTGTCCCGTTGAGGAAGCCCAAGAAGCTACCTGGTAAAGTTTCCAGATTTTGTTTCGATTTTTACCCGATCGATGGTGTGCAATTGTTTGAGTGCTGTATTGTAGTGCTACTAGCAATTCAAATAAACAACCCATTGCTCTCATGGCTTGATGCTGAATCTTTTTACAGGAGAGGTTATATCGGAAGAGTACTCTCTGGAATATGGCACAGACAAGATAGAAATGCATGTTGGTGCTGTACAAGCTGGTGAACGTGCACTGATAGTTGATGATCTCATAGCAACTGGTGGGACATTGAATGCTGCAATCAGGCTCCTAGGTATGTGCTTTGTCTGCTTGATCCCTGTGAATTTCCTCCATTTCATATTGCTCAGTGTATATAATTGACGCTTTATATGTCCTGCAAATGATTGCCTCTCATCTCTTTTCAACTCCTCATTACATCAATCTTAACATATCAATATTTGGCTTCTTTTCACCGCAGAGCGTGTTGGGGTTGAAGTTCATGAGTGCGCTTGTCTCATGGAGCTGCCTGAGCTGAAGGTAACGCTGAGCATCTCTGCCATGTTAATACGATACGATCTTTTCATCCATTCTGTCTTACTGACGTTCTCTATATCTTCTGTGTATCAGGGTCGTGATCGTCTGGGAGACAAGCCTTTGTTTGTCCTTGTGCAATCTTCTGTTGATGCACATGATTATCATTAGAGATCTCTCATCAGAAAGAAAGATGGGGAAGGGGTGGTGAAGTAAAAGGATCGAGTTGGATCGCAGAGTAAAAGAGGTTTGCTTTAAGAATAAACGATTTGGCTATGCGTTTGATGATTTTTCGGTAAACCCGGTTAATTGGTGAAAGGTTTCTATTGGGATGTGCGAGGCAGATTTGAAGTTAACATTGTTGATTGAACAGAAAGAAGGGCTGGATGAATTAGGAGAGGCAGCCGGTTTGATAGTGTCGTCTTGTATCTTATTATCATACCGCTGTTTCAAGGAAGTAGGGCAGAACAGGCTGCTTGTTGTATCAAGTTCATATATATTATTAGATGCTTGGCTCATCTCTTAGACACTGCAATCTTTTGCCCCCGTTCCTCCTATTTGTCACTGCTTTGTTTGGTGCTCTGTGAAGTTCGTGGAGGTAGGGATAGCTAGTCCAAACTACGTGGTCCTGATAGATAGGAAACCTAAGTCTATCCTTAACCCTCCTAAAGTTCAAATCTATTGTTGAAATAGAGATTCATTCTCAGTTTGGGTAGTGAAAATGGTCCGAGTAGACAGATTCTGCATCACTACAAGAAAGCTAAGAAATAATGTATTTGCAGTCTAACCTTAACCCTCCTAAAGTTCAAATCTTTTGTTGAAATAGAGATTCATTTTGAGTTTGGGTAGTGAAAATGGTTGGAGTAGACGGATTCTACACCACTACAAGAAAGCTAGGAGATAATGTATTTGCAGTCTAACCTTAACCCTCCTAAAGTTCAAATGTACTGTTGAAATAGAGATTCATTCTGAGTTTGGGTAGTGAAAATGGTTGGAGTAGAAGGATTCTGCACCACTACAAGAAAGCTAGGAAATAATGTATTTGCTGTCTAACCTTAACCCTCCTTAAGTTCAAATCTATTGTTGAAATAGAGATTCATTCTGAGTTTGGGTAGTGAAAATGGTCGGAGTAGACGGATTCTACACCACTACAAGAAAGCCAGGAAATAATGTATTTGTCGTCTATTCTTAACCCTCCTAAAGTTTAAATCTATCGTTGAAATAGAGATTCATTCCCAATTTGGGTAGTGAAAATGGTCAGAGTAGACAGATTCTGCACCACTACAAGAAAGCTAAGAAATAATGATGTGAATGGCAAATACATTATGATTTTAACATCTCTCTCGTAGTCTCCCACATTTCATCACATGATGAAATATAAACGACTTTGTTGTACATGCCTCGACTTTAAGGTGTAATTTGGTCGACATTTATTTAGCCTATGCAATCACAATTCACAAACATGTTTTTGGAAGTTCCAAATTGGTCCAATATTTAGCCTATGCAATCACAATTCACAAACATGTTTTTGGAAGTTCCAAATTGGTCCAATATTTAGCCTATGCAATCACAATTCACAAACATGTTTTTGAAAGTTCCAAATTGGTCCAATATAATGTTTTGCTTCTTTGCCTAATTTGCATGGTCCATGAAACCGTATCGGAGACCGTACCGGAAAAGTCAGTGGTAGGATATTTTATGGCAAAACCGTGGTTTAACCGTAGTTCAACCGTTAGTACCGTTAAATATCACCTATCGGTTTAACCTCTAATACTGGTATTTTTTGGTTGAACCGCCGATACGTATGGTTTCATGAACCATGCTAATTGACAATGCAAAATGGAATGCGCTTCAGTTTTACCTAAAGTATTGAACAATTCTTCAATTTTATAGGAGCCACTAGTTTTGTGGACTTTCTTACCTCGTTATACTTGATAAATCCTCTATGCCAACTACTTGCCTTCCGTCATTTTCCAATAAGCCCTAATAGGTATGGGATATTGTGACAACTCTTAAAGAGCTTAGTCTTCTGTTCCTTTTTTTTCTTCCTATTTTCAAATTAATGGTACTTATAACTTTACAAGCAATTTAGAATGATAAACCTACGACATTTGATCCATCTTCCATTTTCCATATATTATATCTCCATTAAAAAAAAAGACCCTTTCTCTTTCTTCCCTTGTTAGGGATGGCAATGGGTCGGGTTGTGGCGTGTTATGCCAAAGCTAAACCCATGGGTTTATTCATTAAAAAAATTCGGGAAAACCCACTGGATTTGGAAAACTCAAATCCAACCCAACACGCTAGGTATCCGCGGGTTCATGGGTACCCATGAGTTCATGTACAAAGATAGAATTACACTAGTTTTCACTACTGTTGTTTACTACATACACACTAACTCACAAATCATTGATACTAATAGTTCAATATTAAAGATAAACATCCACAAAAAATATGATTAATTGAACATGTGAGGAATTAGTATAGAAATTATAGTTAATTAGTTAAGCATTCCGTGGGTCGTGAGGGGTATGGATTTGGGTGCGAGTATCCATGGATTGGATATAGCTAAACCCGAACCTAACCCAATCTGAAAAAGTATAGCGGGTTTAAATCCAAATCTGGCCTGCAATCTGTCAAAGCAGGTTTTACCAGCATTAACAGGGTTGGGTCGGGTCGGGTACCCACGGATTCGGGTTCTACTGCCATACTAGTCTCCAACGAAAAACCATAGCCCAACCTAGATCCTCTCTCTCTTCCCTTCGCCCTTCAATTCCTATAAATTGAAGATCAATGTTGGTATGGTAGGGAAGAGAGGATTAGTCTTGGTTGTGTTATTAGATATGAACAAGGAAGCTTCCATCTGGGGATGTCAAGAAGGGACTTATGTGTGTGTAGAATGTACGAAGTCAAGGCTAACGAATTTTGTTTGGGATTTTCTGAAGCTAATCGATGTGGTTATGGTTCGATGATTGTTGAATCGGATTGCAAGTGGCGACTTCGAAGTTGAAGATAGATGAAGATGACTCAATGGAGTTGGGTGTTTGGTGTGAGAGATAAGGAGATCAACGATAGAGAATGTACTATTACTCAGCTTTCGTTCATTATCTAGCAAATCAGATTGAGGTTTGATTAACTAAACCACTCTACAAGCTAATCTAGGTTAGACTACTAATTACAGTTTGGGAACTCACTTAGGTACGATTCCCCCTAGCCACTAGCCAGATTAATGATTGGTGATCTTTTTCTTGTTCACTTTCATTCACAATGCAGAGAATCCTTGACTAGACCTTGAATCTCGACTAAAGAAGTCAAGGCCCTCTTGAGTCGATTGCATAGAGTGACATATTCTTCTATAGAACAACCGATCAAGGAGTTCTAAACTAGATTCCCTCTATCGAATGAGGTTCTTAATCGATACAAAGTAGTGAATCGACCATCGACTAAAGCAATCAATCCAAAACTATTAATCTATGGTTCTCTATTGACCTAATCAGGTATTCACTCTCATACGATCAAAGCAGAATCAATAACTCCTAAAGTATAGTTGAATCATGAAAACATGCATAGATTGAATATGAAGTCAAGATTATCAAGTAGGAGTACTCATACAATCATCGAATCATGGAAACATAGTTAGGTTTCCTCAAAACCTAAGTGAAGGAATGTACTCCATAGAGAAGAGAGAGAATGTAGTAAGAATCTTCAGATGACCAGTCGTCAACTCCGGGCTTTTTTCTCGAGCTTCCAAGGCTCCAAAATCGCCATCAAATCGTCCTCTCACTCTAGAGTTCGTCCTTTGGGTGTTTGGTGGTCAAAACTCATATTCCTTGATGGGGTAATTTAGATTCCAGACTAGGGATTAGCTACTAGAATTTTCCCCTATATGGTCCTTAAATTTCCCGGGCGGGGAATTTGCCTTCCAACCCGTGTAATTCCCAGCTCTTGTTCCACTATCTTTGATGTTTCGTTTCTCCCTCTTTCAGACTCCGAATTAGGTGCCGTTTGATCTAAGAAGCTCGAAGTCTTGTCCTCTTTCTTTCATGACAAGGTTAAATTATTCTTTGTCCATTAAATGAGGTATGAATCCATGCTTACTCTGGTCATGCATGAGTTTCTTCCCCCGAGTCGCCAATTGATCTCCGATTGATTTGAAACTTGCACATATGCTTCACTTGACGTGTCAGGACCTGAAATCTGAAAAAGAAACACAACCTGGCATAAAATAGGCCAAAATATGATAAACACCATGCTAAACAATAAAAAAAAGAGGGATAAAACATGTGTAAATATGGTGTTATCAGGTTTCCACTCCAATAATCATTTCTTACTCTCAGTAGCTCTAAGACTAACTGACCATATTAACATCTTCGTCATGGCCCATTTCAGACTGTCCCTTGCTGGATGTCGCTCCTACATGACTCTATGAAACAATTTTTTTCTATAGTGAAAATTTGTGAATCAAATCTTACTTGACTCCATTATTTAAATACATTCCTTGACCACATCCCGTAAAAAAGACGATACTTCAGGTATTTAGAGTCAAACTATGTAGCAATCTAGTTTACTATGTGAGCATGTTGTTTTGTTTGTTCGTTCTGGTAAAAATAAATATCAAGTAGTATCAGTGGTAAAGTTAGATTAACGTCAAAAGGAGTTGCAGTCCACCAAATTTGAAATATAGGTAGAATTATATGTAAAATTCATACAAAATTAAGAAAATAAACTAGTTGGTAGTAATACAACCCTGGGGGGTTGGATTTTTATAAAAGGACGCAGCAAAACAATCAATCCAAGGATTGGATTGATTAAAACGAATCTCGAACCACAAACGGATGTTCTTGGGTGTTTGGGATAAAACAGAATCAAATGTGCGATTCCACACCTAGGGAAAGACTCGATTGATATAAGGATAGATACCCGACCATGATTGAAGTGACTATTCAATCGATACAAGAGCTCACGAGCTTGAAATCCACCAAACCTAACACAAGTCGCAACTTGCACAAAAACCAAAAGGTTCTCAAGTCGATTAATCAAAGTCTGACGATTACAACGAAACAAGATGTTTAAATATGCCTAACTAGGGTTACACACGTCCACATAAGTCCTAATAACAATCTCATACGAATAAGAAATAAAAAACAGCAAAACAAACTAATCCTAATTGA